TGCAGACTTTTGTCCACCCCTCCCATCTGCTCTAGCATCATTCTTTTACTTAACTGACTTATTTTCTCCAGGTACTGATGTGACTGAAATAATTCGAGCTGATTTTCCTTTCGTTCTGACCTCACTGTTACATTTATACCCATGTGAAGTTTGTAGCTGTGATCAACAATGCCAGCTCCCTTCGCTATTAAAAATCTTTACGTCTGCCATAGTCAGGATGATCAACATTCTAGCAGAAGAATCTGAAACGCATTAGAGGTCCGTCAGAGGGGAAATATTCTTTTTTTGTCCCCATCTCTCTTCTTTATACCAGAGTCTAACAGAGCATTGAGAAGAATGAAGAATATGCTTACTTGTATTTCATGACTTTATGCTTTTTTTCACTTGGCAATGGGATGGAAAGAAAATCTAAGAGTAAAATTTCCAAAGTGCCTTCTGAGGTACTCAGAAGCGTATGTACATGCAGCAGGATATGATCCAGCGACTTGCTAACCCAACGGCCACCTGCACTGACCCAGGCAAGCTGGTTTCAGGGCGGACCCGGTTTGCAGGAAATCTGGCTGTCTACGAGGTTCTCTTCTGCGTGGCACTGAAGTGCTCACGGGAGTGGAGATACAAGCCTGAATTCTTAAATATTCCATTTAGGAGCCTGAGGGAACATGTAAAATAGCCTTAGAGCTTATTATTAGCATTTCATTTTTACAGATGACATGGAAGAAGAGGAAACGGTGCGAGAAAATTCTCTTCTTCTGCGGGTTCAGCGACTGGCTTTACAAAGGGAGTTCGATGCCTAAAGGTGCGGAGGGGAGCCCAGGGGGGCTTCCCAAAGCACCCCAGCGAGCGGCGTGCCCAGTCTCACCGCACTCTGAAATGAGTGGAATTCCAGATCCGTTCACAACACCCACGCAGAACTTCTTTGCACTGCCAGACATCTAATTATCTGGATAAGACGGCCCGCAATTAGCTGCAGATGGCCAGCAAAAAGAACAGGGATGAAATCTTTTGCGTTTTAATAAGCATATTCTGCTTCTGGGCTAGGAAATGTTTTGTTTTTCTGGGCGGATTTTCTGGCTGCAGCTCTGACTCCAGTTCCTCTGGCTCGGTACTCGGCTGTCTCCATACGAAGCGACAGTAAACAAGGGCTGGGGAGCGGCGGTCTCCACGGAGGGACGGTTTACCCGGTGACACGATGTGTGATGCCACCATGCCACCTCCCTGCCTCCTTCCTTGTCACCAGTGTCCCTGGGGAGACGGGACGATGCTCTCCGACGCCTCAGCAGCTGGTCCTAAAGAAGGAGCTTTCAGCGAGGTGGTGCCAGGCGCAGACAAACCAGCGCTGCGGGTATTTTTTTCCCGTGAATGGGGTGTATTGGGGAGCACGGAGGAAATGTTACTGACTGAAAGCAATCAAGAGAGTCTAATTACAGGGATTTTTACAGAGAGAGTCAGACGCACGTCAAAAGGGACTGCTATATAATTAGGATAATATCAGTTCCAAGTCCTGTGCTATCTAATTACTGGTGGCACAGTGCAATCTTTATGAAAGCGAGCTACTTTGATAAGAAAATGATATCATCTTAATATGAAATAAAACCAAAATTGAAAGGCAAGTTAAATATTGGTAGGAATAATAATCCACGAGGCAGCACTCCGTGTGCTGGAAAGACAGAGCAGACAGAAACCCACCACCCACCTCCAGCCCTGAGTCCGTGCTACGCCTCTGCCCCGAGACGCTGCGGGTGCTGCCTAAATGGGCAGTCAGAATCAAGCCAGACCGGCACGACGAGGAAAGAGTCGTAAGAAGTGGAGGAGGAAAGTAATACAGAGAAGAAAGGTTAATAAAAACGGGAAAGAGCATAAACCTAGCAATCGAAGCGTTATTTTGAGCGTCTCCACGTGCCGAGTTTGCTCCGGATCCAATGAGGGACCCCACACCCCCAGCTGCTGAGCTGGTGCTGGACCCTCTCGGATTCAGGCCCTGGGACATCCCCGAGGACCCAGGTCTTTCTGGTCTGGTCTCACACTGGCTGCATTAAACTGATAAAACCATCAGCAATACTTCATATGAATAAATTACTAACGGTATTAATTTAATTTCACATGCATTCTGTTCATCACAGATTAATTACACAGAACCCATACCTACTACAACATAATGCCATCTGTTGATAAATGACCTGGACACTAGAAAACTCTAATTTCTCCATTCATTAGAATTGAAAACCCTAGTATGTTCACGTGCAAGCCCACGGACCTGCTGGCAGGTCCATTCTTCTCATTATGGTGTAGCCTAGAAAATCAAAAAGTTATTTGAACAGTGACATCAACAGATTGTCAGTTGGTAGTGGGGAGACACTAAAACTTTCATGGACTTTCACAGATGCTGCATTATCATCAGTCTTGTAATGGAAAATAAGACTGAATAAAAGGTTTAATATTATTCTACTGACTACCTGCAGCTCATTTATCCCATGGACTGCAGACTGGATCACTTTAAGCTCCCATCGCCTCATTTAACAGCAAAGACATGATCTCATCTATAAGCTAAGTTTACATATCTTTTCTAAAATTTTAAAATAAGAAAAGTAGAGTGGAAATAGGCTAGAACCCCTCATTTACTTCAGGTTTGGTAAGCACATTTCTCTGTGCACTGATTTCAAGGAGCTACTTTTTGTCTTCTGCTCATTTAAGCAACCTGTTCCCAGGCGATCATAAAGGATGAAAGGACCTGACTTCACTGCCCATGTCTTTTCAAATTCTTTATAAATTCCTCATTTAATCTAACCTTGTCTCTTTTTGGTACAAGAACCAAAACATGAAATACTTTTCTAATGTATAAGCGTTGTAATTGGTATGCCATTTTCTTAAGGAAGATTGAATGTTTGGAACTCTGAGTCACAACCTCCCAGCCGCGTGCCACGTACCCGGGTCCGTTCTGCCCTACGTGACAGCTGCGTGCGGTTTATTGAATAGCATTTCATAGAGATGGTGACTTAGTCCTCTGAGCACAACCTTCCAACGCAGCTCTACTGAAGTTCTTCCCTGGCAGAAAAGGTTCCCTCAGAGCTACATCCCAGCAGCCTCCCGGTCTCTGCAGCTGCGGGGACTCTGTTTTATGTAGCGTTGCTTCATCAAGTCTGAAGTATCCAGATAAATCCCAGTGAACTAATATTTTACATCTCTGCTAAAGATTGCCTTTTGCTCCTTTGTGTAGCATCTTGGTGTTGAATGCCAAGGAGACAAAAGGAAATCTGAGTTTTTGAAGGTGATCATGGTTTTCACTGACAAATCAGTCTAATTACAATAAAAAATGTCAGAACTAATTAACTTGAGAAAGAATAAAATGCTATTTTAACTCTGCAATCATTTTATACATTATTTTGTTTATTTCTGATGGTTCAATGTAGGATCTGTTAAAAATACTATCTAGTTTGCAAGGAGCATGGGTGAAATGACGAGCAGGATTTCCATGCAAGACTGTACAGGCTTTCTCCATTTGGGAATTTTACTTGGTGAGACTATGGTGTGAGAAATCATCGAAGGCTTATCATGAAACCTGTCATCTTAAGAAAGGAAGAGAGGAAGGAAGGAAAAGAGAAGGAAGGAAGGAAGGAAGGAAGGAAGGAAGGAAGGAAGGAAGGAAGGA